GCCGCAGCCATGTATTCATCGGGCCCTATCTCGGTGGCCGTAGGGGTCACCATTTCCGTTGCCCCGGTATCCATCACCGTGGCCGTCCTCCCTTGTCCTGTAGCGGTTGGAGCAGCCAGCGAGATTTGGGAAGGCCCAACGGGCCCACCCTGAGTTCGAGGTTTCGGACAATCTTTCGCAAGGTGACCTGGCTGATTACAGTTATAACAACGTAGGGGCGGGACAGCCCCGACCACTGCCGGTCTTATCATAGGGGCCCCGGCGGCCATAGCCGCTTGTTGCCGTTGTGCGGCGGCTAGGCGTTGCCGCTGCAGGCCCTGAACGAACTCCGCCAGCGGGGCCACTACCGTAACTAATTGGGCCGCGACCTCTTTTATGGACACTTCTTCCTCACCCCGGCCTCCTTGTGCTTGACTAGAGCGACGGGAGGTCGAAGCAGAGGAAGAAGCTTTTCGATCCACGCCTTTTTTTGCCGAACCCAACCCGAAGCGATCTTCGAACATTCGTGCCGTAGCGGAGTAGCTATTGCGTCGAACACCCGAAGGGTCATCTTCGTCGGATTCTGAGTCCAGGCCCACATCGTAATTTTCTTTCACGTACTTAATTGCGTACTCGATTAGCTCCGTCAGGGTATGTTCTATAGGGTTGCATTTCTTGCGGATCTTTTTCCGCAGACGAGAATCTGACAATCCTCTGACGAAATCAGTCCGTACCATTTTCTCGTCCACCCCGGAGCGCTCGGCTCGGTACGTAAAACGTTCAGCATATCTAGCCAAGGTCTCCCGAGGCTGCTGCGTATATTCCTTTATTAGACGGAGGCATTGACCTGGTGCGATGTAATCAAATCTGTCGAGAAATTTCCTCTGGAAGGCCAGCCAATTAGTGAAGGGGTGATGTCCATACCACTCAAAAGCGGTTCCGGCTAACCTTTCGGGGATTCGTTCTCGGAGCAACTGGTCCGACCAGCCCTGGGCTTTCAAGGCAGCTAGCCAGGTGCGAGGGTCGGTATCATCTTCGGAGAAAATGGGAACTCCGGAAGGAGGAGGTACAAAGTACAGGGGATGATTGGCCATCCCCGCGTGGTTATCACCGTCGTTTTCACCCCCAATTCCGGGTTCCACCATCACGGGAGGCGGGTTTCGAGCCCGGCCTCTCGCTCGGTTCTAATTGCTATTCGCGGGCCGCCGGTGACGGGGAGCCAGCCTACTTAAAAATGAGAAAAATCTAAAAAGAAAGATCAGCGAAAGAAAGAATTAAAACTCTTAAGCAGGGTATTCGTCCTCGGAAAACCTCGGGGCCGAAACGAATCAGCTCTGATACCAACCTCACGCCCCCTCGCGGCTTCCCGTACTGGGTCGCCCATCAGAGTTCTAGGAGGGGCGTGGCCGAGGATTTTTGGCCGTAGGGGTTGAGTCTCCCGGACGGAACAGGAGGCTCTCGTTTCGTGCCAAAGGTTACCCCGGAGTCGAACTGTCGTCGCGAAGTCCCGTGGGGGGGGGTCGGATCGCTCCGAAACGATAAAATCGGAAGGGTTTCCGCGAAAACGAATTGTCGTCGTGCATCAGGACAGGAAAAGGCCTCAAGGGGAGAGGGTTATGGCGGCGGGAGACAAAACGTCGGCCGTCAGGGGTTTTCGAGATAGGTGGTGGTTTCGAAGCCTTCAGGCCTCGTCATCGGCCTCACGAAGTGAACGAACCATCGGGCCTTTGCTGTAGAGGTGGTTGGTTCGAGGCCTTCAAGCCTCAGCGTCGGACTCACAGAGTCTGCGCGGAAGGTTCCGGGAGGATAAAGCGGCGGGAGGACTCGCCGGCATCCGAATTCGAAATTGCGCGGGCAGCGCCCCCGCACTACGGGAAAGCTCGGGGAAACGTGTCGCTCCCTCGTAACCTAGGACCAATCGTCGCCAAGAACACGAGTCCCCCTGGCGACACCAGCGACAATCAAACTGCGGCCCCCACGTGGCGTGAGCGGCCGACCAGGGCAACACAGTCAAACCCGTATAAGGCAATATTAGAGTCGGGGAATCAAAACGCTCAATCAAGACAAACCCGTTCCCCCTTATATCACAAGCCCGAGGCGGGTCTCGCCACCACACTTGCTCCGTTCGCCTCAGCGCGCGCCGTACGTCCGCATCGCAATAGACACTGTCGTCATCTGTGATGGGGAAGGTCGGTAGCGAGATGAGACGATCGGAGGTAGGCGATGAACACGGGCAAGATCCCGCGCTCCCGGTCATCCGAACCAACATC